CTAAGTCAGTACATCCAGTAGTACATTTATAATATATAACATTATAACATACCATACTGGTCAAACCTCTAGACCAATTAATGATTACAGTATGTTATTTATCATTTAATAATTTCATGTTGTTCCCAAAAATACTGGAGATTCAATGTTACGCTAAAGTTTGAACACCCCTGGTCAGAAGACGTGTTTTGTTGATTTTCTAGGTGAAAATAAGTTAACGCATCCTCTACAGAGAACACACTTCTGCACACTGTAATGCACAGTTACTGTTTATTTGCTGAATTTAACATTCTGGGGGAAAATAAAACATAAAATGTGACCTGTGGAAAAGTTTTGGCACATTTTTTTTTAGTTCATTTTTAATATGTTAAACAGCAAATAAGCAGTAATTGTGCACTAAAATGCTATATTTAAGTGTGCTCTCTGTAGAGGATGTGTTAACTTAGTTTCACCTAGAAAATCAACAAAACTCGTCTTCTAACCGGGGTGTTCATACCTTTGCATATAACTGTATGTACACTTGATTTAAACCTTTGAACAGCAGTGTTAGAGACAAGACAACCATGAAAGCACTAATGAACACTTTATCATTGCCTACAAACACCAAAACTGTTACAAATTTACCATCTGGTCCACATTGCCCTACAGCATTACTACAACTGTTACATTATTTACCGTCTGCAGGCCAAAGAGGAGCCGTTTTTCCAAAAAGACAACAGTCTGAATAGTTTTAGACTTTTGAGCTGGGCTGTGATGAGGGTTGATTGACGATCACCACTCGAGAGCAGTATTTTTGTTTGTCCATTGAAAACTTTCGGGAACCCATTTGGAAAAACTCGGAGGTTAACACTGGCAGCAGAAAAGAGCGTTAAAAGCCTGCAAAATTTGAGGGCCTCCTGAGGCTGTCAGTTTGCGGTGGAGATGTGGTTGTTTGAGCCTGTTTCGGACGCTTACCAGCAGCAGTAGCTCCAGGAACCACACGAGAAAGACTTGTGGGTGAACTTTACTAGCACGACATGGTCACGTTCAGCGTTTTCAGCTCCACCTACACCACCAAATCTGTACAGTGTTGGTGAATTCAAATTTGACTTCACCTCCAGTTCACACCAAAGTGTGGACACAACAAAGACACTTTATTTTTTAAAAGTTTATACAACACTAAATATAGTTTGAAGTGGTTTTGCTGATGGAGAGTCAGCCTAGCCATACACAAAAAGAACTACTAGCAATGAAACCTTATTCATGGTATAATTTCAAGGGGAATTACACTGTTCTTTCAATGTTTCTGCATAATTAAATGGTGAAGATGTAAACAAAGTAATTAAGAGTGGTTTGGTATGAAATGCTCCATTCTAGAGAAATTTACAAAGTCACAATTGATCACAGTGGTGGTGATAGGAACCATCTAAAGATTTTAAGGTCTCTAAAATCTCCCTCATGGAAGGTTTGATCAAAAAATATATTTTTAAAATCTATTCGTGGATTCATGCATAATAGTTCCCAAAAATATCATATATGTTCAGATCTACCACCATTTACCATCATCAACATTGCATGTTAAAACTAAGAAGACGTGTGTAGGTTCACTGTTCGTTTTACATTGTAAATAAAAAAGCAGGGTGTTGATACATTGAGGGCTCCACTCTAGACAAACTTAGAGAGACAGAATTGTTCACAGTGGTGGTGATAGGAACCAGACGTCTGAAGACTTTAATGTTTCTAACATTACAGAAAGTTATTACACCAAATGTTTATGAATTCACTGCATATTGTCTGATACATCTTTTACAAAAGTTCTGCAGTAACGTTTTGGCCTAAAACATAGTTACAATGTTACAGTTTCACATCTGTTCGGTTAAAGTGTTGAACGGTTAAGTGTTGACTGCTCATTCTTAAAGGTGGATGTAGTTAATAAAGCAGCAGAATGCAACTGTATTTGCATTGTTGCACTTAAATATAGTGTATATTGTAGTTACCCGCCTCTAGACGCTCATGCGGAGTGGCCGTGCTGATGACCACTCGAGGAGGCTCATGGGAGACGTGCACCCTTACTAAAAGTTGTTCCTGTTATTGTTTGTCAGGTAAAGATATGTGGTATGTGTTTACTGTGTTGTATTCAGTAACTACTGGACTGAAAATTATTCAGTAACTACTATAAAACTGATATGTAAGTGATGCAGTTATAATAAAAAGTATTAAACTGCAGGTCTATGTACAGGCCCTACAGGTATAAGGGGTTAAACTGACATTCTGAAATGTTTTCTGGCTTCTAGTCTCAGTCTGGGATATTTTTTTCCTGTAAATATTCCGGAAACAGCCCCCTTGTGTGACGACAGCGATTTGGGGCACAGCGTGTTCCTCCCCTGTGTGCTGCTGTGGATTATTGCATAATACTGCGTTGCTTCTGTCCAACCATAGCGATCTCACACAAGTCCTGGTGGCACTTTGGTGTCGTTCTTTTAGTTTAGTTTATTCGACAATAAAAGCTAGCAAAATCACACCTTGTTTCTCAAAGACAACCGAAGTTGGGCAGAATACATTCAACAAGTAGTGATGGCTGTGTACTGAGTACAGTGTCCTAAATGTATTCAGTATTCCAATTACAATACATAAAATGTAACATATTCAGAACAAGTTTAGAGCATGCTGATAAGGCAGATGGGAAAAAAACTCCTTTATTTTTACCTATTTGACATTGTTTTTCGCTCCAAACGCACCTCTAAAAATGACCTTTGGTATTGATTACTTGCATATTTGCTTATACGTATTCACGTATATTGTGCTGTTGTACTATACATGTGTGTATGGATTCGTTGGCTCTCAATCGGCTTGGCACCTTGTCCAGCAGAGAGAGCAGGAAGGGGGCCATTCACACTCTATTAGCTTCCTGCAGGCTTCTGTGAAGAAGGGAAGCACGTGTCGCCCTAATCATGCTGGCTTCATGCAGGATGCATGGATTTCAGAGCCTGGGAATCACAGCATTCCGGCCTAGGCCTCTTTCCTTTCTTCTGCTCGTCCGACAGGAAGCAATTGGCTAGCTTGTTTACGAACGGACAGCATGTTCCTTCCTCCATTCGCCCTGGGGCTTACAATCATGTAGTCCGAGAACAGTCAGAAAGTCATGTCAATATCCTGTCTTGTCTATTAGTTTATTTTATGGCTTTTAATGGGTTTTGCCATTGAACAGTTTTGCCTAGTAGCTTAGCTTCAACCTTTATTTTCACTTGAAATCTGAAATATATAGTGTAGGCATTCATTTTGTGCAATGACATCTGTTCTAGTGGTCATATCATACGCTGAGTGGCCTCTTTCATGTAGGACCCCATTTGTCAATGTAAAGTAGATTAAGCATCTACAAAAAAATGTATCCAAGCTTATACGTTAATATTTTTCTTATTATGCAGGTCCAAATCATGATCCCTAAGCTTTTGTTCCTGTGACCCAAAATATTTTTCCATTTGATGCTTGTTGATGTACAACCTAAGTGACTTGTAAAGTGTAAGTGAATTGCATAAAAGTAGCAAAACACAATAGTATTTGCCTTAAATAATAATATTTATTTCATTATTGCATGTGACTATCCTTTCTCAACACAAATAAAATGTACATTCAACTAAGATACTTTAAATGATCTCTTAATAGCATTATAGCATCACAACGAACAGTATATGACATTTGTACAATGGAAGACACAGCATGTTCAATCAGATCTTGCAAATATTTAAAATATATATATATCAATATATCAACCCTTTGATACTTGAAAAGTATGTGTATATATATATATATATATATATATATATATATATATATATATATATATATATATACGTACATCTCCAAGAACACTGTTTTAGGTTCCATAAAGCAAAGAAGAAAGTTGCAAAAGTTGGCAGAAAGAAATGTACAAACAGCATTAACAGCATATAGTCAATCTCTGTAAAATCTTTCAACAAATATATTAACAGAGTCTTTATACATTTGGTTCCTCTTTGTAAACTAATTCGCTTTGTGTGTAAATATTGCATATAAAGAGGGTGAATGGATGGTACCTAGAAGCGGGATCTCCCCTAGAATCCTAAAATCAAATTACAGATCAATTTACAGAATTACTTAATAAAGTGCCTTCAGGTCACGTGTCTCTCTTTTTGCAGGCCTATTAAAAAAGAATCTATGGTGTGGGAATATATCTACATTAGTGCTATGCAATACTAAGCATTTTTCAGCAGTACAATTTGAAAAACATCTCATTTTTTTGTTTGTTTGTTTACTTTGTTTTGCCATTTACTTCAGAGATTATGTCCTAATCCTTTTCAGCCGGAAGAGACCTGCTAAAGTTCCACTGACGAAAATGCTTCTCTAATAATAGCGTTGTACACAGTTTGCAAAGTTAGAGAGAGAGGGGGAAAAACACACTAAATGGAGAAAATAAGCCTAGTTGATTTGGTGCAGCTCTTAATCTGTGCCTCCCTAGGTTGTTTACTCTGTCCTCTTGCACAATGTAAGTGGGTTACGTGCTCTACATTCAAATGTGTCATGTGTTACAATCTAGAGTTGCTGCTGGCAGTAGCACTGTAGCATCACAGTATCATCGTGGCCAGCATCAGCCGCAGTCAACAACTGGCAGACCTGCTGTGAAGTGCCTGTGTTTCTACCCGTCGCTAAATTCACCAGGTTATCCCACTACCTGGTTTCACGCGCACAGCTATTTTCGCCACCACTGACATCACTGTCGAAGATACAGATGAGGATAACCAAGAAAGTGGAGGTATACAGGAGCAGCTATGGTGCGGTGGTCAAAAGGGAAACGTTAGCAGTGAATTCGGGCACCTATCTATAGTTATACCAAGCTAATCTTAACATTATAATACATTATACTGAATAGAACTCTATATAATTGGTCATAAAAATAATATTTATTCCTTTGTTATTCATCGTGAGGGTAGGCATTTATTGTTATGTGCAACAACCACATATATGTGAGTGGTACATTTTGCATATTTTTTCAAATTATCATCTTAAGTGGCCTCTTTTATATAGGAACTCATTAGTCGAAATAAATTAAGCTTCTATAAAAAATATAAACTAGATACGAGAGTTTCATATTTTATATATTTCTTATTATCTAGGTCCAAATAAGTACAGTTTTAAGTAAATCCTATATCGGTTGAGATAGTAAGGCTTTGGATTGGTCATGTAAGAACACTGAAATTTAAAAAAAACAAAAGAAAGGAAAAGATATCTGCATTACGTGTGAATTTCGTACATCGTAATAAACTGTATTTTCCTGAGGTAGGAGGTAGCAGTTTCTTGGGTCATTGTTGTTAAATGTCGTAAATTCTCACCGTAACTATTTGTACTAGGTATAAATAAATAAAACATTAAATATGTACCTTTGTAGAGGTTTCTCTCTATAGTAAGTAAATATTACAGATTCTGGGCTTGGATTTTTGGGGGTGAAGGAGGAAGGTGGCTGTACTCCAATCAATACTCCAGAGTCAACCAAATATAATAAAGGTGTTATAAACAACAACAAAAAAGTATACAACAAACATGAGACAACTTTGTGACTGTCGTCACCTACAAAGCAGCAATTTGCAGTTCCTGAAGGACCGAGCGGGCCGTGAAGTCCCTGTATACGGAGGTGTCCATGTTTAAAGTGGCCAGCCTGGAATTGGATCACGACTTTAGCGCTCGGGAACTCAGGCAAAGGGTGAGGGGTCGTAGGTTAAAGTTCATTTACAGCAGCATAGTTCAGCCACGGCAGCGGCGGCTGTCTCTAGTCACGGGTTTCCGTTACCCCTTCCTGCAGTCCCAGGATACAGTTTGAGGAAGTTCGAAGAAGATCCATCGGAGAAGATCAATCTGAGAGCAAGAGAAAGACAAGACAAGATGGTTAGAAGATGCATTCCTTCCTTAAACTAGGGATGCAGAATAATATCAGGATCATATTTGTATTGGCAGATTACTCCAGAAGAGCAGAACATTAGATGCTGTGCTACGATATCTGTATTCATATCTGTATTTAAAATTGTAACCCTATAGAAATAACTGTTACATTAATCCAGGTAGATGTAGTCCCTATATTTTATAAATGTTTATGTATCACCATAAGCACCGGCACTGGCAGATAGGTGCATGAAAAATATCGGATATCAGCAACGGGCCACTATTTCCATACGGGGCTTCCCTACCTTAAACCTTACGGTACGCCCACCAACTCAACATTCTCCAACAAAACACCAACAAACCCAAACATTAGGTTGGTGTACCATATCTGATATGAGTGTTAGAAATGTTCTAGAATGTTCTTCTCTATTTATACTAGTTTATTTGACCTGTCTGTTCTTTTTCTGAAACAGTATAAAACCAGCTAGCAAGATAAAAGTGCTAGTATTTGGGGAATGTTGGGTCATAGTGCCATGGCTTATAGGTAACATTACAAATAAGTCTAAATGGACAATGCAGCTTAAGTAGAACCCACTATTGCTGCAATCCAAGTTCGACTCTCAGGTACCATAGGTTTATACTGGAGTATCTTTCCGTCGTACATTAAGGGCCAGACCTCTTGGCCTTTTGTTCTTGTTTGTGCTGCTTGATTTGCATCTGGGCCTCAGCAAGAGGGAAAGTCTCTAGAAGCTCAGTTTTCCCATCTCATTTGACCCCCCTCCTTACCCACTGCAGGCCTCACGCTGTTTCTCTCTCTTTCTCTTTTACTCAAACATTACTAAATCACAACCTGAAGGCTTAATCCCTGAAAGCCATTTCAGTTAGCACTCACATTCAATACCATATCAACATAACCTTTGCCTACTGTTAGCTTCTCGTAGGAACAGGCAGTGTATGGCAGGGATTAACCCTTCATGCACAGTCATGTTTAAACCCAGATAAAATGGAGGGGGGGTTGGGGGAGCAAGTGAGAGGAGCTTGCAACAGCCTTGACCAGCTCCTGTCTACCACAGATGGACTAATCCCAATATAATTCCATTATAATCCTGCTGGAATTACAGTCACCAACTAAAGGAATGGAGGAAATCTTTAGCTCCGGCTGGAGGGGGTCACGGGCTTGAGTGGTGGTCCCGCAGGGCAGTAATTACATAATCTGACAAATGAGGAGTAAAATGACTGCACAGACCATCAGGCAAACCCCGTAACTTTACAGGGGAAAACAGACTAAAGGAGTTACAAGCTGCAGGGCCGTGGACACATCCAGACCTCGCAGGCAGTGCACAAGAGGGGAAAATCCATCGTCCTTACTTACGCAAGTAAACATCAGCTTTGCTCTCTGAATGTCTCATTTTATTTCTACTTTTATTTATTTACGTCCTCTTTATGTCTCTTTTGAACAGCGTCATGTCTTCCTATTTTTTTTGTTACGCAGCCTTTTCCTATTTTCTGTTTCCAGTCAGCGACTGTACCCATCGTAACAGGTCTGCGGGAGTGGCTGACGCAGCATGTTTGGGGGCCATTTTGGTTTATGTGTCCTCACACAGCAGCCTAGACATTAATCCATGGTCCTGGGAGAGAGCAAGGTATTGTAACGCTGTTCACTCTGAAGTGTCTCGTCGGCCTTAAAGGGGCACATAAAGCTGGTTCAAGCCCCATGGGACAAGCATTCTCCTTCGCAAAAACTGCTGATGGCTCAAAATGGAAGAAAACAGGGCCAAGAAAGATATGGCGATATTTAGTTAACCCAAGCCCATAACCCTATTTCTCAGGCTTGCTCTTGTTTCAGAGGATGGATATCCACAGACTTAGTTCAAGGGCAAAAGGAGTTAATGGTGCATTGATGGGAGAGAGAAAACTTGGGGAGGGGGCTATGATGAGAAGAGAAACAAGGGACTTGCACAAAACTGTTCAAAGTCACTTATGTACTCGTAACAGCAAACTGTATAGCAATTACTGTGTAATTGCTTGGCCATCCCTAAGCTTCCATTCCCCTTCCCCCACTCAACCTACACAGCCACATGTTTGTTTTCATCAACTATTCACCTCTCTATATCTATAATTAGTCTGGGTATGTACAGGGTTCCAACACTGATCATGATACACTCCAAGCCCACGTACTGCACCTTAACAAGAGGTTTCCTCCACAATACCCTGTATTTATTGCCCCCAGTCTGTGTTGATTTGTCAGTGTAGGAATAATTATATACTTGGCATTCCAGGAATCCCAAATCCCATATTTATTATGATGCCTGGAATTGAATAAGCATGAGCACCCACTCATTTAAAAACACCTTTAGAAGTGACACTGACCAGTGAGTGCACTTTCCAGGGCCTTACTGAAATTGAACCAAAATTGAGACTTATTTTTATTACAACAACCACATCCCGCAAATTATGCACAAGCTATCCCGAAAGGCATCAAAGCCACCAAGCGCCACTTTTACAAACTCAACACCAGAACCTCTGTCCAGACAACATACTCTGCTGTGCTAGAATAGCTTTACGAGTTGACTCTGCCTCCTTTTTTGTTACTGTAGTGCATGACATTTCGTGTTAGTCTCATGCTAACAAGAAATGCTGGAGGGTCTGGGCTACAGTAAGTGGTGGACTAGAGTGTTGGAGGAGAAGGAAGTCACGCTATGATGGACTAGCACACGCACAGCATGAAGTAGCATCTCTGCTAATATAAGCCATGATGGATAAAGATGTCACAGAACCCCCAGCTGTGGAGTAAGAGGCCATCTGGGTCCTCCAGGAATCACACTGTGCAGTGGGCTTAATGAAGGTTCTAGAATGAAGAGAAACAAGAGGATCAAGTCCTCATCTGTTTTGTATGGTAGCAGCAGGTCCCAAAGCTAGAGAAACCTTTGGTTAAGGAAGTGAATATTTACCTTCCTTGCTGTATTAGCTATGAGGTCCATTTGAGGACAGGTTTGTTTTGGACCTGCAGGAGCTTGAGCGTGTATGTGTGTGTAAATGCCCCTCATCCGCCTCGAAGCAAGCTGCTGAACAATGTCTAATCCCCCTCCCTCCCTCAAGTGTAATCTCCTTCTCCTACCCGAGCTAAATGTGGGTAACGTTGACGGTGTTGCCGTGGTTATCTCAGGCGGGAACATCCCGGCCTAGTTTAGCCCATGGGGCTCTGTGGGGAGGAGAGTCTGAATGCCCAAAGACTCTTTCAGGTGAGTATTTCTGGGGATATCACAACACAGTTGATGGTAAACACTGGGTTACTGGGTTCTTCGGCTGGGTTATGTGTTATGCTTTGATCTCTCTAAGCAAAAGGAGTTCTTTACAAGTCAAATATAATTGTACTATTGTCTATATTTAAAAAAAGGTTATATGACTATAACATAAGTGGAATTTTGTTTGAAGATAGAGCAAGTTCTCCATCATAGAGAAGAAATGGTTCTTCAAGTTGTCATGGTTCTTTATAACCACTGCCTTCATCAAAGAATCCTTGAAGAAACCATTTTTAATGGTGTAGGTTTATAGGGACCACTGACAAAACAGAAATGTCTGTCCAAAAAAAAAAAAAATCCATCTCAAATGCAGGGCATCAATATGCCCAGCATGACTGGAAACTCTGACACATGCGCTAGCCACTAGCAGCCACAGTTAAGCTAGCCCTCCCTCCCACCATTCCCCACTGTCAGTCAGTCCCTCAGCCAAACAGTGCTAATGGAAATGAATGGAGCTAAGACAACAACAATGTGAGGGAGGGAGCGAAAGAGGGAAGTGCGCTAGGGAGAGCAAAGGAGGACAGAATAAGTGTGGATGGGAAACGTGAAGGAAAGTGAAAGAGAGAATCAGCAGGTAAACAACAGGTCAAAATGGGTTTAGAGCACTGGGGAGGAGTATGTTTTTGAAAGAGACAGAATGAAAGAGAATGTGCAGCAGACGATGAGACAGTACTGCTCTTAGGCCAGGAGTGAGCGAGTGCCATGAAACCTGATCACCTCTATCCAAACATACTAACTGGCTGTATGTTTGCGTGTGCTTATGTCTCCTCCATATATCCATAGGCAGTTCAAAGTCTCTAGCACAGTTTAAAAGACTGCACTGCAATCACTCGAACCTTTCTTCTTTCTGTCCATCACAAATGCATACACCCTCTAGACTGTATTTCCCAGAATCAGTATCATGTTACTAGCCAGGTACATTTGCATTTGACTTTGTCTTGCTGAAATCAGTGTGTACATAAGGGTTATTCTCACGAAACATGACAAATACTGGGACCCAACCTGAAAAAAAAGAGAATGACTAAAGAATTTTCTTATTTTTGGATTACAAACAGCAGTGTTAAATAGTTAAGTAAACCTGAAAGAATTCACTGACTTCAGTACGATTTTCTCCAACATGGCTGAACAAATTCTTATTACTACAATTACTTTTTTCTGATTAAAAATAAACTAATACTCATTTCTCACTTTCACTTGTTATATTATCAGGCCTTCTTCAGTTTGCCTCCTTCTCTACCTCTCTGTCTCTCTTACGCTCTCTCATGCTCTCTCTCTCTCTCTCTCTCTCTCTCTCTAAGGGACGAACACTAGCCCCTGTCCTGGGGCCGGAGCAGATGGCGTGCTGTCATTAGTGTATTGTCTGTGCTGCTGCCGTGCCTGATAACGGGCCCGCAGTGAGTGCAGCGGCAGGTGCACTCACACATACCCCTCCCTGCCCCGGCCATCTGCCATACACTCACACAGGCCAACTCAAGGAGGCCTAAGATCCCTGAAAAAGAGAAGGAGAGAGCAAAACATAGAGCAAGAGAGAGAGAGAGACCAAACAGCCTCCTATTGACTCCACTAGGCTTTTAAGCCAAGTCTGAAAAACCTGATATCAAGACACACTCTGTCTCTCTCACTCTCTCTCTCTCTCTCTCTCTCCCCACTGGTTTCACTTCTTGGTTGTAAACAAGGTTCAGCCTTTCATTGCACGCCTTCCACTGCAAGCACAGTCAGAGGTAAATAACATGCATATGATACAAGGCTATATCAAGGGGCCATTTATTTTCAAATGACCTTAATAGTGTTTGAGCTGAAGGAGGCGTGGAAGGAGTTCAAAAAGCTAACCTTGGCACAAACAGCACAGCAAACTTTTTTCTTTGACTGTATAAGCTGTTAATAACGTACAAGCAGTTAAAATATCACTTTATGGTTCTAATAATACACTGTATGATCTCACAGAATGTTCCAAGAAGAGTTCTCTGTACACTCCTGATGTAAGTATCCATTCTGTGAATTTTCCAAAGTTTATTTTTTCCCCTCTGCTAGCAGTGATTCAGGGCTTGTGTAGCACCAAAAACAGCTCTTGGAATTCCTTAATCCAGCAGTCATATACTGACAGGCAGACGATAAATGCCTAAGCCTGCTGAGGTTTGTGTGTTTGTGTCAAGAACTTGCCCTTCAAAACTTTTTCCATGCCATAGAGCCGGCTGATACACCACTTATCAGCCCCTTATCTAAAAACCCCTAAAAACATCAGCAAAGACTGAGAAGTCAAAGAGAGTGGGTGCTTTGATCCTGACAAAGCCGCAGGCCACCATCAGCTTGTTACCCAACTGGGACCTTTGTGGCCAACGGCAAAGGATAAAGTTTAGTTTGCTATTCTTTTTCTTAAAAATCCTTCTCATTTTGTTGCTTTCAACTTGGGTTAATATCCCAGCATGGAAAGTTGAACGCAATTCAAAGTGATGTTACAGGGCTTGACAAATGTGCTTAACATTCTTTGATTCAGAAATCAACAAACTCAGTATTTGCCAGCACATTGTCTGAGTGTGTGCAAGAGAACAAGAGGTCTGCCAAGGAAAGAGAAAAGAGAAAGCAAGTCAGACAGAAAGAGAAAGGGTGGACTTATCCCTGAGGAAGATGCAAATAAAAACAAGTGAGTATTCGCTTCTCCCAGCAACCTTTACCCAGTCAGGCATTCCAAGCGTGAAACTTCATCAGTACCTGACGACGACCCATAAACAAACCGCTGGCTTGTTTTTTCCCCTCCAATGGCCACACACGACTCTCACATGGTCCCTCCCTTGTTCTCCAGGACTACCCGTGGACAGGGCTGCATGTTTCCATTTAAAAGATGAGGTGCAAACATTACCCCCTCCACTCCTTTCTCTCCCCAACCATTTTTCTCTCTCTGGCCTGACCCCAGTAAAGTAAGAGTTAAAACTCATTCGGTGTACACAAGCTCGCCCACCCTTTCGTGGTGTTAAGCCTACCAGCCACGGACGCCTTTTTAGCTGCAATAGGGCTAATTTTGGACCACAAGTTCCAGCAATGGACATGTTATAATACCGACACGAGGGAGGATGGAAACGATTTGAAGTACGTGCTGCAGTGCATGGCACGCTGTGCTGTGTGTTGAGACACATGCAAAAACAGCGTGCACCCCCAGGCACTTACATTATTCAACCCAGCATACTGTTAAAGCATGCAAGGAAAAAGCATTGCATTGCATACACCCACAGATCATTCAAGGTAGGCAAATGATCACACATGGTTTTCCTACTGGAGATTGCAGAGGGAGATTTGTGGACACAGTCCACCGGCTTTACTTAATTCTAAAAAAATGTAGCTGAATTCAGCTTAATGTAGACAGCAGTTATTATCCCTGCATTTATCAACTTTGCTCATACAGCAATATGATAAATGCAGGGATTCTGCTCTATGTGCAAACTTGACAAATGCAGGGATAATTCTGAAACTGACTACGGTCAGAATCAGGCTTTACTGCATTCCAAAACTGAGATGTAGATGAATTCAGCTTGATCCTGACAGCAGTAATTTCCAAAATCAGGCCATTCCTGCATTGATCAAGTTTATACAGCCACACACTGGCAGTATGGATATGGCTTCTCCAGGAAATCAAACCAAATACTGCATAATTATCATGCTGTTTGGCTCCGCATGATTAAGTAAAGGCACAGCTACTGGAGCAGTCGGACAATCTAACCGCCTCACAAAACGAAAACAGCGCTGTTCACGTGACCTCGAGCCTCCAAACAGCCTCACTTTCCCTGCACCCTTCGTCTAAGAATAGCGCTTTTCAATAATTCAATAACAGTCATAATGTCTGTGCACGCAGTAATAAAACGCAGGAATAAATACACTTATGTGCAAAAACAGTGCGATTTGTTCAGCTTCATCAGATTCAGCGAGTGCAAAGCGTTCACAATTCACTGTATCCTGCAGTGTCATACTTCCTACGCACTCGGGTTGTTTACCACTGCGCAGCTCCTGAGCTCGTCACGTTTGTCACGTTTCAGGTTCCTAGGAATTCCTCTGAATGAAAAACATGCCCTCATCGTCAATAACAAACTTTTCGACTCGCACAAACGGAGAAAAACGTCAGAAACCAACGTTGTGCTCTGTGCGTAATGAATTACATAATGCTACCGAATCCATTCCCAGCGGTGCTGTCGGATTAATTGCTTTCATATGTACTGTGAATTTATTCGTCAGGTTCTCAGAAAATTTCCATACGGCGATATTTTTGACTGGATCTACTTTTTCCTCATCTGGAAATGTTCTGCATTACTCTACGTACTCTCAAAAAACCAAACTGGCCTAAATAAATAAATAAATTAATTAATTAATTAATCATTTTTATTATTTATGTGCATACACATAAGAAAATGTATAATATACTAGTAACTAGTATAATAAACTAGTAACAAGTAAGTATGATAAACATCTTTGCCACTTCTGCTTTAAAAACATGATATTTCCTAATGAGCTGAAAGTACAGAACTGAAAAAATAAATATTTTACAGCTAAACTCAATCCAACTTTTAAAAAAGGAGACTTTGATATCTCCTTTGTCGTGACATCCTCCACTGCTTGCAGCTGGACCGTTACCCAACTTGCTGCATCACCTCTTAACTGCCAGCAGTTTGAACCATAACAAAACACACGTCAGCAGAACTCACCTTTTACAGTGGTCACTGTCTCCTTGAATCCCAGGGAAACATATGGGCTGGTATGTAATCCATTAATTCCTCCTTTGCAGCAACTGACAGTCTTGAAGCCCATCATATTTTCACAGTTCCCCAGCTCTCTGTTCTCCATGAGGTTTAAGGCGATATAGTTCAGACCGTTCTGGTACCCGGCCGAGGTCTCTCTGCACATGGGGCTGCCGTATTCCTCATCAGAACCTTCGCTGCTCCGAACCAAGACATTCTCAACGGAGGCAGAACTGTGCCGCTTGGAATTGTGGGCGAAGGAGGGAAACACAGGCGTAACAGTGGTGGTGGATGAGAAGGTCTCCGAGCTGTGCCGCCTCCGACCGTGAGGGTCGGCTCGGATCACCTTTGCCCCTCCGTCAGGGTCCACTGAGGTGCTGGGCAACAGGAACGCCCCAATACTTGGCATGCCTTTGTCACCTAGAGTGAGCCTCTTTACCCTGCTTGCGGGGCTAGCTGCATCACTTTCTCTATTCTCCGAGATGAAGGAGGGGGAGATGCGCGCATCGTCAAACTTCATCTCAGCATAATCATCTTCACCTGTGCCAGGCGGACAAGGAGAGCTTCTCTGCTCATCAGGGAAGTATGCCCCCTCCTCAGATGGGCATGGGCAGTTGGTGAGCTCAGGCATCTCATGTAAGGGACTAGCGAGGATTTCTCCTGATTTAGGGGAGTGTGAGTTGAGGTCAAGGTTCATGTAGTCAGAGAGGGGGGACCGCCGTCTTACGCTGTTGAGGCTGGGAGGTGAACCCTGGCTCTCCACCGATTCCGAGGGCAAGGAGTACTGGGTGGCGTCACCAAAGTCTATGTTGATATACTCCCCTGGGCTTTTGGGTTCACAAGGGAGGGGATGCTCGTTCATGCTTGGGAGCATCCTCAGAGTATCCAGAGATAATCTGTTGGGTCTGTTGACTCGTGCTCTATGTGTCAGTGCGTCAGTGCGGCTGTGCCTAAATGCGGGAAGGGTGGAGGGGCTGGTCAATGAAGGCCCAGCATTTGCGGCAGACATGGTGTAGTAGTTGGACTCCTCAGTTGGCCTATGGCTCTGTGGGCTCATTAAAACATATTGGTCCTCTTCTCTTTTAGGACCTTGATGTTTGTTAGACCGGCAGCTTAAGGAAGGAGAAGGCCGCTGGGCTGGCTCACACCCACCAAGGAAATAATCAGGTGGCGTGGGCGAGACATATGGATCAACAGGTGACATATTCATATACTCCCCATTTGCCACTCTGCCATCTGAGCTCTCCAGTGAGGACTTGGAGCCAGACCACATCTTCATGTAGCCACTGTCCTCCATGGAACTACCACTGGGGGAGTTTGTCGTGCCCCGGCAGCCCAGGGCCTGAGGGTGGGACCTGGGGTTGACGATCTGTTTGGGAGCTGAGACACTCATGGGGCTCATGGGCATGTAGTGGTCATTTTTGCTGCCTTGTGGTGCCACACCTGGTGTCATGGGCATGTAGCCATCATCACCTAGGTTACTGCTGGAGCTCCGGCTGGAGCCAATTTCAATGTCTCCATAATCCTCTGGGTATGAAACCTTTGGAGAGGCAGAAGGGCCAGAATGGCCATTTGTGTACACCGCCCTCATCAACATGTATTCGTCAAGTGAAGCTGATGACTGCTGAGAGGGTGCTCTGGGTTGTCGTGGTGTTGTGAGGGAGTATGTCCTCTTCCTATATGATTTCTCCAAGTCCAGCCTTTCTCTGCTGGAAGCCTGGTTCTTATTCAAGGAGTGGCTAGATGGATTGTCCATCATCATATAACCACAGAGATCACTGCCTTCACGGGAAGGGGGCGTGCCAGAGAAGGATGAGGGAGTATTGCTACGGTTTGATGGATTGTACCTCGCATCTCCTGGGCTGGATCCATAATCATCACATGACAGGAAGCCTGTGTCACTAGGCGACCCTGAGACAGAGCCACTGCAGCTGGAAGGTTTGTGTACTGCGGAGCCGTTCATGCTCGTAGAAGAGAGACTGAGTGGGCTTACAGCAGACGGAGGTGAATGAGACACAGGCATAGACATGGACATGGATCTACTGTGATGCAAGAGTGATGGTTCAGATGTTCGGCAGCCGACAGAAACCGTGTTGGACCTGCACATGTGGGTCCGGCCAGCAATGCAGGGGCTTCCATTCTCCGATATTGACATGGATACCGGACGCGCCATGGTGCCTTCGCCCTCACTGGCTGTGCGTATCCGACAGGAAGTAAACTTGGTGACAGGGGATGTGGCCGCCACACTGTCTGTCCTTGACCTCCTTACTAACCCTGTCTGACTGGGGGGCAGATTGTTTAAGTTCCGCCGGGTGGGTACAGATATGGGGTTTGAGCCTGATGACTGGCTTTTGCTGCGCGGTCTGAACTCTGACAACTCTTTCATGGCTTTCATAGCCTCCAAAATCGTCTCGTGTATGTTTTGCGCCACCACAGAGTCATCAGCCTGCATCCAAAGCTCCCCGGGTCCTGTGGAGGCAGACCTGCCCACCTCAATGAAGAAAAAGCTATCAGAATGGCCACATCGCCTGATGTTCATTAGCTGCAGACTGACAGAGGCAACCTCAGAGTTAAGTTTCACAAAGCTAATTGACCGGCTTGACAAACACAGCCTGTAAACTCCAGTGATATTTCTGGTCTGCCCAAGTCCCTTAGATTTCACATTCACTTGCCATACCTCTTTGTAGGCGGCATTCACCGGCGTAATCATACCGTAATTGCCCTCGTCGAAGCCCACCAGAGAGGATGCAGAATTGGAGACGGCGCTGTCGTACACTTTCCCCTCACTCATCACATCGGTTAGGACTCTGTACCAGCTCTCCTGCTCCTGCTCGTTTTCAGCAGCAACGGCGAAATATTCGTCCTTGGTGTAAAGAGCTATCAGGTGTCTGTGTTTGGCGTCGGCGCGCTTGTTTATGCTCAAACACGAGTCGAGAGGAATGACTCTTTTGGCAGCTGCTTTATTTCTCCATTTCTTCTCGCTCTCGTAGTACTCCAGCCGGGCTGTCAACCCATCGCTCTGCTCCTTCAGCACGAAAAACCTCCGGTGCCCGTGCTTCTGTTTCTTGAGGTATCCACTTTTCTTAACGTGGCTCGAGTTCATGTTGACATTTGGTAACGACGACCCTCCCGTTTGCGGCGGGCTCGCCATCCCTCGGACTTGAAAAAACAATATTCTGACCGACTTTGTGGAAGTGGATTTCCCCGCGCTGGACAAGAAAATCCAAGTAATGAGTGCGAGTTGCGCTCACTTAGTCGTGCAGAAGCAGCTCCGCGCTCTCTCCGTGAAAAGTTCACAGCAAAATAGCTCCTCTTTCAGAATGACTGAACTAAAGAGGAAAAACAACATGTGACGTTGCACTCACATCCCAGCTTTGGCCAGTGGAGAAAATACACAGTCATATAAGGCGGTGCGACCGTCCAGGCGGGGTGGGAGGGGGGGGCGTGCCTGCCAATCTGAGCCAACGGAGCTGCTCATTGGATTCATTGGTCGAGCGTGAAGATTTACGTTTGGATGGACGAGTAGGCGAGCGAGGCACTCGGCAAATCCCCCCTCCCCCGAACACAACCCGTCCTCTCCCCTCCCCTAATCCCAAACACAGCGCGAGGATGACACATTTTACTGTACATACGCAGTCTAAGGCAGTGATGCATTTCTCCGTCAGACTACCTAATGTCCATTTATAAAATGTCGATACCGTTACGGGCACGGGCTGTTCTCGAAAAGACAGCCTATCGTTTTTTTTCGACACGGTGGGACATTTTACTCACACACTTAAACGTCATTAAGACTAAGAAACTAACCCAGTTTGTCCTCAGTAGATACCTGAATCAAGTGCTGGTGAGCTAACGTTAATGACCGGAAGTGTTTTTAACCGTTTTAGCCAATATCTCGACAAAGTAGGACATGTTTCCATTTAGACAGGGTAAAAAAACAAGCTCAGAGTGGACCGTTAGACACGTCGCTCACTTAAAAAGGGGGATTCAGGTATCGTAACGAAATATTAACGTGTTAAAACAGTACACTCGTCTTTCTGTCCGGTTTTTCAGCTCAGTCAGAGACCGTCTCAACTTGTAAACAACAGTTGCGCGCGCGCGCGTTGCGTGTTTACGTAACGCGAATGACGTTCTGTGTCTACGCGCTCGGGTGTCCCTGTAGCGCTGTGGAGTTTTTTTTCCCACCTGTATTCCACGAAGGCCCCGCCTCCTGCGCGAGGATCGGCTGTTATCCCGCCTCCTATTGGCCAGAAGCGGCTCGCCTTCTGTGCGGGGATTGGCTAGAAGCTCAAACACAAACGCAGTCCACCTATCGGTGGGGGCTTGTCGGAATACGGGTGGGGACACTGGCCCTGCCTGCAGCGTTTCCGCCTGTGTATTTGCGTGTCAGCACTGTACCATTGATAACAAGTGCAGTAAAAGTCATTAAGATAAATTCGCGTATTTTCTTCTCTCAGGGCAGGAAATGGCCTTTATACGGCTTTGAGCTCCACGCAGTCTAACACGTATTTAAACGTGGCAATGACAAACCTCCAGTGCTCTGTAAGACAAGTCGTTTTGGAAATGACGATTTCGTTGTTTTTGTTTGGTCAGAACCTGATAATGGCCTCAGTTTCAGATACTTCCTATATACTATGCACTGCATACATCGTGGAACAATGGCGTCTACATTCAAGTACTGCATTACAGTATAGATCACTATATGATTGTTAAATCCATATTTTGTGACCTGTGTAGTGCACTACATAGGGAGTAGGGAGCCATTTGAGATTCTTGTGAGGCCCGTGGGCACCAGAGCCCCCACACACTCCAGTAAGGAGTAAACAAACAAAAAATACCTGAAAAATGAGATTAAACAACATTTCACGTTTATATGCACTTTTAGCAATGGTTAATAAATAAGTAAATATATATATATATATATATATATATATATATATATATATATATATATATATATAATATTAAAAGTTAATATAATAATGTGTGAAGTCTACATCATAACAATCTGTGCTTTTTATATAAGACTTGAAAAATCATTTCTGCCAATTTTTCAAGCCAAACTCAGTCATGGAAGGGTAAACGCAAACACCACCATCTAAAACATCCCATTTGAATGGCAAAAACAGACATCTATTATTCAACAACACTATAAAAATAAAAAAGAGGGGCCGGATAACATTTATGATTATTTATTTCATTTATTCAGCATTTTCTTGCATATTCCAAGGCTATTTATTCAAATGTTTACATGTGCAGTGGATTATCGCAGGTATTTGGGCCACTTAGAGCTTGTGGTCTAAGGCCCCCCAGGGCAGTCAGAGGCCCCTGGGCACTGGTAATCCATCCCTGCCCTTGGTTATTTCAGCAATGCGGTAATGTAGCCTGTTTTTTCAGTAATAGTATTTCATCTCTCCACAACAAGAGGACTCAAAAATAGCTCCCCCAACTGGTCATTTCTAGCCATCACATTAGGACCCAATGGACTCCTTGACCTGGAGGTTGAAAACAACCTTTGCCTGGCATGACAGTGCAGTCTATTATCATTACTGCAAAACAAACCAGTTGTAAGGTGCCTAAGCTTTGTGTCTGTGAATTATTAAATGTTTAAAAGATGGACAGTGTTGTTGTAACCCAATATAGTTTTAATATTATCCCAGATTAAATGAGTTACAGATGCTTTGGTTATGCTTAGTGTCTGAACTGAAGTGGCATAACAGTGGTGGGGGGGCATCATATATTAATAGAAGTATTAAGCAGGTGGAATATTAATTAGCACTGTCAAGCTACCACTATATTTTTGCCTCATTTGAAATATGCTTATTTAAAGGTCCAGTGTTGTTGACAAGTGATTAATGGAGTCTGGTAAACTCACGGCATGCTGGCGAACAACAAACTTGTTTTTGACATGCAGATGGCTTTGTTGCCAAAAGTTGTTTGTTGATTTTCCATATTAAGGAGCCATGGTATTCACCTTAGTCATCCCTCATTTACAGTGCCTGTTTGTGTGTGATGGACGTCCACCGTCTGTTTGCTGTTAACTGATCTGGAGATAATCTGATGATGTTTAGATGTCACTGTACTGGAGCAGAAACCATTGTATTGCTCCAAAGATTCACTAATAAATCCAGACCCGAGAGCATCCCGCTGTAGCCCACTGCCGGATTTGGTCCCCTAAAGAAGATTAGTGTAAACAAAAGCACTGATCTGGCTAGGCGAGATTTGGGGGCCACAGACCCCCTTCTCTGAAATGAGCAGCTGTCTATTGTGGTATTAATACCCACCTCTCTCTCACACACACGTACACAGATTAAATAAGATAGTATTGGGGTATCTTGGCTGTTGTTGCTGATGTTGTTTTTGATCGTACATGTTATTTGGACATCTGCCTGTTTTATCTGTTTTTGCCCCCCGTGTGTTAAATCAAAGGGGGCTTAGCCCAAACAACAACATGTGTTAGCGTCACTAATCTTATACAATGGAGAAAAAAGCAAATAGCCTATGGTGACGGCTTAGGAACAATACAGCTACTCAGGCACGGCACGGTAGGCCACACTCTGGATGCTAAGCCAATGTAGGCCAGCACACTCCATGTGCAATTGCTTAGCCACTTTTTTACAGTACTGTTTTCCTAAACAGTGCTGTCCAAAGGGGATTGGCCACGCTTGATTTGTCAAAACAGCCATTAAGTACAAGTTATTTATTTTTCAGGAGGAAATTATATGTAAGATCATCCATAAGACACATGCATAAGGAAGGGGAATTTCAAAGGAAAATAAATGTAAAATGGAGTACAAAATTGATTGAAAGATGAAGTGAAAATGGGACTCCTAACTGTTCAAGGCCTGGTAGACCACCAAAATTGTCATCATCAGAGAAAGAGTACTTAAAGCTTTCATCTTTAAGAGAGAGGAGAAAATCAAGCTCCACTCTTGTTTCAGACCTGAAAAAATCCACAGGTGTTTCTGTCCATCCTTCCACTGTGAGAAGACAACTCAACACTGAGTCTGAAAGGATGTGTAGCTGTCAAGAAGCTGTCTGTGAAAAAAGCAAATAGACAAAAAGGAAATAGTTGTTTCTAATAAAGTGGCCAATGAGTGGAAGCACAAAGCAGGTATTTATTTTTCAAATAAAGTGGATGGACTTGGCAAAGATGTAAACTTTCAAAGAAAAACTGTAGAACAGAGGTGCCAAAACTTTTTTTCCTTCAGTGATCAATGTGCAATGTTTGTGGTGCTCCAAAAAGACAAAACAATGTAAAAATACAGGTACATTTCAAATGAAGTTTTTAATTGTGTAATCATATTACACACCGTTTTGTTGCTTTACTTCATGAATACAGTTTTAAAAGGAAAATATTAATATAAAGAGTTATGGTATATATTGGTTCCCACAGGATAAGGGGGTAGGGTTAGGTTAACTTTCTGGTGGGCCATAATCAAACGTCCCAACTTGGGGCAGCCCAAAAAATAAAAATCTGGTTCTGACCTTTAGGCCTGGTGTAAATGTACTATGTATAAGACAATCCAAAATAGACACTGATGTTTCATAGTCTGACCGAAAAAATTAAAAAATAGCCTAGCATCCTTGGACCCATAGGAACATCTCTTTATTAGAGGATTTTTTTATTATTATTATTATTTTTATTATTCTTTTAATATAATGCCTCAAACAAGTGGAATCAGTTTATGTTTGCTTTGGATTGGTGAGGCCTAAAGTGCCAGCTGTTAGACTGAACTGTAGGACCTCTTGGGGCACTCGCTGACCCATCCTTTACACAACAGCACACAAATAGCACCAGTACTGACTCTAAAAAGAGCCCACACTTTACAAACGAAGAGGATGGAAACGGTGACAGCCAGAAAGAACTGGAAGTCACTGGTGAAACCTCAGCTATGACCTACCCACCTACACCACCGTGCACAAGTGTGGAATCATCTGTCATGTTAATAATCTTAGTTTGTTTTTTATGTTACAAACTAGAAACCGGAAGTTATTTTTGGTTGTTTTGTTCTATACTTTAATTTATCTTGGGAACAAAAAAAAAAATTAAATATGAATTAAACTAAATTATGAACAACATATTATTATTTCTTTTCAAATATGAGGTATTCTGAGTATAAATTCATTATCAATGTTCTACAGCTCTGGTTATCATTCTACAATTTCTTAATTTTTATAGCTTCCTATGCAGCAATTGAAACTGCTAGTAAAATACCAGCATTATGCTATGCGTGTATAAAAAATACTCTGATTGTATATTTTAAATATAGTTTTAAAACACTCATTCCAAACCTTTGGACAGTGCACAAAATGACACACTGGGCTAATGATATATGCAGACACAACTGTTGTTGTCAAAGGGTTTGATGATCCACTCTAGGCAGCGAAAAGCAT